GTCCCCACTGAAGGCATCTGACAACATCACGGAAAACATCATGCTGAAGAGCATGGGAGCAAGCATGCAACCCTGCTTCACCCCACTGATGACTGGGAAAGTATAACAGTATTGTCCTTCACCCAGAACCTATGTGAGCATGTCATCATGAAACTGGCATACTATGCTGACAAACTTCCCTGGGCAACCCAATTTTGCCATGATGTTCCATGGGCCCTCATGACTGATAGTATCAGGTTGACAAGCATTGTATACAGACCTCTGTTCTGCTCCTGGCATTTCTCCTGGAGTTGTCACGCAACAAATATCATGGTGACTGCTCCACGGCCCTTTCTGATGCCACTCTGGCTTTCAGGTAGATGACCATCTTCCAGATGATTAATCAGCCAGTTAAGGAAGACTCTGGCAAGGATACTGCTGTCAATGACTAGAAGAGAGATCACCCTGTGGTTGTCACAGGATGGCCTATTTCCTTTTCCTTTATACAGGTGAACAATAACTTCCTCTTGCCACATAACACAGAAGATTTCTGTCAGCTTCTGTATGAGCAGTGGACACCCTGCCTTGTAGCTCTCTGCCGGGATGGAATCAGCACAAGGTGCTTTGCCATATAAGAGGAGCTTGATGGCATTCCGTACCTCTTCTTCAGTTGGAGGTTCAGCTAGAGAAGAAATGATTACAACCTGAGGCATAAGATCAGTGGCTTCAGAACTGGTTGATGATGATCTGTTAAGAACACTATGGAAATGTTCAGCTTGTGTCTCCAGGGTCACGTCCTTGTCCTTGATCAGTATAGCTCCGTAAGCACTGAGCAGTTGAGCTGCACCAGAGGTCTTCGCCCTTAGTCTTCAGGGCATCACAGAAGCACTTGGGATTATTGCTGTCAACAAAGAATTGAATCTCATCTGCCTTCTTGCTGAGGCAAGAATCCCACATTTCTTTAAGTTTCACTTGCACTTTGCTTTTGATGGAGTTAAATGCTGCCAAGCTATCCTGCTGAAAAACTCTGTAGGTTTCTTGTTTTTCATTTCTCATTTAGCAGCTTCTGAACTTCCCCCTAACTTTCATCAAACCAATCCTGATGTTTATGGGTGTTCTGATCCAGATGAGCAAATGCAGTACTGAAAGCTACCTGCTTTTCTTTCTTGTTCTACTGTTGCTGACTCTGTGCTGATTCAGCTTTCCCTCCAAGTCAGCACTTAACTTTTCACTTGTAGAGAAATGCTCTAGCCTGTTATCATTCAGTCTCCTGACAGTCATTTTGTATTAAGGCCTCTGCTTTTACTGAATGCAAATGTTTGGCTTGGAGAAGATGAGTCTGTGACTGGTCCAGCACTCTGCACCACACATCACCTTCATCACACTCACATCCTGTCTGTCTCTTCTGACAATGATGCAGTCAGGGTGTAAGGGGTGTTCAGAGAGGACCCCTACCTCTGATGAAAGAGTTTGCTAAGCCCTTTCAGGGCTCCTCATCTACCTCTGGTGTCTACCTGTTGGCTAACTCTCACCTGTAGCCACACCCCCATAAATCTGTCTAGGCACATGGGCCAAATCAGGTTGAGGGTAACCAATAGACCTCAAACCTGTCTGTGAGTTAGAGAAAATATCTACCTAAGCATGTGAAGACTTTTCCCACAGGCATAGGTGGACAAGAATAATTTTGTTCCAATGGCCATGAAGGCAGCTGAAGCAGGCACTAGAGAGGGCTTAGAGTTTGGTCAGACACAGAAAACACTATGGTCATCTACCGCATCCCAGGCAATCACCAGTCATCTTGACTTCTGTCTTGCCTCTGGACACCAATGACACTGTAAGAGACAGTGAGCCTCAAGACTCTGTGCAACTCTGCCTCACTTAAATCAAATTCATGCACAAGTAAAGATATCACTCATCTACTACTTCATCCACCTTAAAGTACTGTGGCAATAGACGAGTGCAGATACATTGGAATCTGTGGCCACAACCCTGCACATAGGCGGCCCAGGCCACAGAGTTATCTTCTCACCTGACCAAAGCAACAGATGAATTTGGCAGCCTGCTGGGTGTCCGTGCAGCCCTTCTAAAGACTGCACTGCTCACCTAATCATGGGAAGAAGGAACTAGAAAAAGTGCCCTAAAAATTGTCTGCCTCATTCAAACTCTGGCCTACTTACCTCAGCAGGTGGGGATCTCCCCCTGTAGTTGAAACAAAAATCAAAAACCTTTTGTGAAGATGATTCCGCTCACCCTTGGCACATGGAATGGGTGAACACTTATAGACAACAGGAAATGTAGGAGAACTGAGAAACACACAGCTCTTGCTGCTAGATAACTCATCAAGTGCTATATTCAATTAGCAGCCCTGAGTGGAACAAGACTGGCAAACAAAGACCCGCTTACTGAAGGCAGAGTTAGAGACACATTTTTCTGGAATGGCCACGGTGGTGAAGAATACTACGAAGCAGGTATAGATTTCACAGTCAGATCCAGCCTAGCCAGCAAGACTGCATGCCTCCCCAAAGAAGTGAATATTGCCATTTGCAGGAAAGCACCAAGCCATTATCATTAGCGCATAAGCCCTGACTATGACGAAACCTGATGAGATCAAAGAAAAATTCTGTGAAGGCTGGGACAACCTCATCATCAATGTGCCAAAAGAAGACAAGCTTATAATTCTGGGTGACTTGAATACTAGAATAGGCACAGACTATCAGACATGGCAGGAGTCCTTGGGAGGAATGGAATCAGAAACAGCAATAGTGACGGTCACTTACTGCTGAAAACTTGTGCATCTCATGACTTCTCATCACCAGTACTGTTGTCTGCCTCCCTAACCACAATAAGACATCATGGACGCATCCTTGAAATACTTGGAGGCACTCTTCCAAATCTTGTCCTTTCTACTTTTGCAACTTCTCTGATATATGACCCCTGCTCTCCTTCCTAAGTGCCACTGCTCTAGTACAGTCTCTCATTGTCTGACTTTTGTTAATAGCCTTCTAATTGGTCTACCTGACTACCACTCCAATTCATCTCTTACAGCTGCCAAAGTAATTTTCCTAAAGTGCAGGTCTGACCATGTCATCCTTGCTCACCCATTAATAATTGCCAGTGGCTTCCTCTCATGTCCAAATCAAATATAAAATCCTGACATTTAAAGACTTCACAACCTGGCCCTTTCCTGAGTTTCTAGTGTTCTTACACTTGACTTCCCTCCATGCATTTCATAGCCCAATGTTAGCCTGTTTGCTCCATCTCTTCTCTGTAGCTTTGCACTGGCAATCCTCGATGCTTGCAATGTTCTCCTTCCTTACCTGGCCCTTGACAACGCTGCCTTTTTTCCAGACTCAAATCAAATCCCACTTACTACAGACCTTTCTTTTTCCCTCACATAGCTAGTGCCTTCCCTCTGAGGTTACCTTCTATTTATGCTGTATGTATATATCTTATAGGTACTAGTTACTTTCAGGTTATCTTTTTCATTAGAATATCAATTCTTTTAGGGTGCTTCCTTAACTTTCTTAGAGAATTTTTTAAAAATTTCATATCCCTAGATTTAGCACTAACCCTAGCGGATGCTTAATAGATGCTTGTTGACTGACAAAATGAAAACAATCCCTTCAAGGAGCTTATATTATACAGAGGGGCATTTGTAGATAGAGCTTCAATTCATTCTTCTGCTTATTTGATTTTATGGGACATACTCTTTTGTTAAATAAATGCTAAATCATTGTTGATTATTTTACAGATTCAATTCAATGAGTAGTGGCTGAAAAGAGATATATTTAGGCTTGATTTCAGGAAAAAAATTTCTAAATATTAGATCATTCCCTCAAGGAGTTGTGGTCATCTTAAAGGTTTTCAAGTACAGTCTGGGTAACCACTTGTATGGTAGTCCAGTAGGTCATGGGGGATGCCCTTTTGTGGATGAGTTGAACATGTCTGCTAAGGTCCCCACCAATTCTCAAATTCTGCAGTTCTGTAATGTTATATTAGCCAACTGATCATTTCAAACATCATACTTTAGCTACACAATATATTAAGTGCACAAAATTAGTATATATACAAACATAGTGAAATGTAGATAAAACTGAAATTAAGCAATGTGGCATAATGGAAAGAATCCTGAGCTGAGAATCAAGAGATGGGGTCAGACACTGACTCTGCCATGAACTCCCTGTATTATCTTGAGCAAATTCTTCAGTTTCCTTGTCTGCATAAGGAAGATGACAGAATACATGATCTTTCAGTCCCTTTCAATTCAAAATTCTATAATCATAGCAGTTCTATAACAAAATAATAACAATTTTCATTTCTCAAGTCAAACATATTTGGGATGTAGAATTCAAAGAAGGTTTATGTCTCAAATGATCATCGAAGTTGTATTAGATTCAGTTATGTTTGTCTATATTAGATCAGAACACTGTACCTATTTCCTTGTGAGAAATCATAATATAGATATGTTGGGAACAATTCTAGCTATAATATGAAATTCTAGCTATAAATATGAAAATCTGCTTCAAGTCTGATGCTATGTAGGAAGTTAACATTGCTCTCACCATTGACCATGGAGTGAAGTATTAAATATTAACTTTGGATCACTCATTGCTTGACCAGAATAAAGATCAGAGATACACAGTGTCATTGCAGTCACCTTGATTAAAATCCAAATGCAGCTTTTTCAAATCTTTATTGAAACCTATTACATGACAAAACTACTATCTATGATGCTCTGATTTAATACCAAACATCTACCCTGAAGGGTTTTTTGCTATTCCATGAAGCGCTTTGAAATAAAATGCCAGAAACTATTAGATTCATCAGTTGATAAAGAGAGAAGAGGTAGGCTGACTTCTAAATGTCGTGTGTGTGTGTGTGTGTGTGTGTCTGTCCACAGAGGGAATTTTTATTCTACAAGAAGAGACTTGAATTTAAAAAATATTTGCTTAAAAAAGTAACTCCAGAGATAAACAAAGATAATAAAAGCACAGTCTTCTTTGAGTAAGAATCAACATTACCTTTCCAACAAATGGCACTAAGTGATGTTCACACATTGAAAACATGTCTATGTCCTTTACAATCACCATCTCATCATGGTCTTCATCAAATATAGCGTCATTCAGGATATCTGAAATTAAATGTTTGTTTTAGTAACATACCTTCCAACTTTGTAAAAACAAAACTGGTAGCAAAACATTGACAAATTCAGTTTTTCATGTTTTATTCTGCATTCTTACAACAGAGACAGAATCTTATTATTAACCCCTCCAAGCAACTGTTTATCTATACATTTAATATTATGTCATTCTTCAGACTTTCATTCTAACCAAGAGTCAAATTTCCCCTTGAACACAGTAATACATTGTTTTGAAGGACTCCACTGAAAACTGAGTTGGACTATCTCTATCCAGAATGCCAGACACATTGACAAGATGCCTAGTCCCTAGTTAGAAAAGCCAACAGGAAGTTTCAGGGATGAGTAGGAGCATGCTGGAACCAGTTCTAACCAGTTTGCAAACTGGTTATTAAATTATCAGTGTGAGCATTTACATCTCAGAAATAAGTAACTGCTATAAATCAAACCTTAATTTGGTGTTTTGTTGGGGCAGCTAGGTGGCGCAGCGGATAGAGCACCGGCCCTGGATTCAGGAGGACCTGAGTTCAAACCCACCCTCAGACACATAACAGTTACTAGCTGTGTGACCCTGGGCAAGTCACTTAACCCCATTGCCTAACAAAAAAAAAAAGCAGAAGAAATTTGGTGTTTTGTTGATTGTCTAGACTTCAGAAAACGTTAATAATGTACATACTCCCCTTCCCAACCTGGTTGTTAAATATTTACCAGCATATTCCTTTTCTTCCTTTATAAACATTACTTGTGCTCAACAGGACTTCTGTAGAAGGCTTCAGTCCCTGGAATTAAGTCATCACCAGAATGGATGGCTGCAGGATGATGATGACGAGCATTTACATGGCACTTCAAGGGTTCCAAAGTGCTTTCCACTCATTATCTCATTTGAAATAGAGTATGAGATGGGAGTACTTATCCTCTTTCAGAAAAGAAAGGATATTTGTGGGGTCTGGGGTTTTTTTGGCTTTTTGGTGAGGCAGTTGGGGTTAAGTGACTTGCCCAGGGTCACACAGCCAGTAAGTGTCAAAGCGTCTGAGGTCGGATTTGAACTCAGGTCCTTCTGACTCCAAGGCCGGAGCTCTATCCACTACACCACCTGGCTGCCCCCAAAAAAGGATATTTGATGAGTCACCAGGAAGATGATCCCCTTAGTCAAGTTCCCCAATGGTACTGTGGCTCTTGAAAAGGTTAATGACTTCCGGGCACTGAGTAAGAATTTAAGTCTAGGTTATCATCCCTAGAGTCACATTTAAATATGTGGTAGAAATTCATTAGAGCGATTGTCAGGATAATTAAAGTTGTAGCCTTAGACTGCCTGCTAAAAACTAGAAAGGAAAAACTGGATGAACCTCTTTTTCCCCAAACTTCCTTTTCTAAGGAATTAGATTTTTCATTCTAAGTACTCTATCATAATCTTTTTTTTTTTAAGGCTAGAGAGAAATTATCTCCATGTGCTCCAAAATATATTCTGGATTTTGTCACTTTTAAAATAATTACGACCTAATAAAAATTTCAATCATTTTTGAGAATCTCCTGGTTATGGAAATAAAAGAACAAAGTTTTTGGGGGGGAGGCTAGGCAATGGGGTTAAGTGACTTGCCCAAGGTCACACAGCTAGTAAATATTATATGTCTGAGCTCACATTTGAACTCAGGTCCTCCTGAATCCAGGGCCGGTGCTCTATCCACTGCGCCACCTAGTGGCCCCTAAAGAACGATTTCTTAAAATGAAGAAGGAGAAAAGGAGTTAACTGTCAAATGTAATAAAAGCTACAAAAAGTTTTAACTTTTTCTTCTCAGGATCAGAATATGTCTATCATCAGCCCAGGCAGAAATTCTAGTCCTTTAATTAGGAAGCAGTCTCAGCAAGTGACATATACAATGGTACTATTATATACTGTGCATGGGAAATATTCAAATAATCAATCAACTATTATGTGCCTACTGTATGTGAGGCACTGTTCTAAAAGCTGGGGGTACAAAGCCAAAAAAAATAAACAGTACCTACTCTCAAGAAGCTTGCATCGTATCAGGGAGGACTATGTGAACAAAAATACATATATACACATACATTTTACATATATATATATACATACATACACACACACACACACACACACACACACACACACACATATGAGATATATTTATCCCCAAAAGGGCACTTGGGAAGGCACTAGGAATATCACGGAAGGCTTCATGTAAAAACTGGTACTTGAGCAGACTTTTGAAGGAAACAAGTAATTCTAAGACGTGGAGGTGAGGAGGAAATTCATTTCAGGTTTAGGAGACGTTCCATACAAATACGGGAGGTGGAATGTTGAGTATGAAGAATAGCAAGAAATTCATTTGTTTGAACTAAAGAGTAAATGAAGGAGAGTAATCTATAAGACAGGTGGGAAGGGAGACTGGTGTCAAGTTGTTGAAAGGCTTTAAATGTTAAAAACAAAAAAAGTTTCTATTTGATATTGGAGGGAATGGGGAGTCGCTTGAGTTAACTGAGTAGGGCCATAATATAGTAATACTTGCACTCTAGGAAAATATCTTTGTGGAGGATGGATTGGAGAGGGGAAAGACTTGAGGAAGGGAGTCCAATTAGGTCTCCTCTAATTGGAGGCTATTGCAATAGTCTAAGATTAGTGGTGATGAAGGTCTGAATTAGAGTGGTGGCTATGTGAGCAGAAAGAAGGGGAAATGTTTATGTGAGAGATGCTGTGGAGGTAGAAATTGGAAGATTTAGCAACTGACTGGATATGTATGGTGACAGCAGGTGAAAAGTCAAAGATAATACCAAAGTTGCAAAACCTGGGTAATTGGTAGGATGTAGATAATTACCCTCAGCAGAAATAGTTTCCTGTTTCTCAGAAGTCTAGTGGTTTTCTGGGGAAACACAATGAATTTTATTTTGGAAATGTTGAATTTGAGATGCCTGTGGGCCAACAAGTTTGAAATGTCCAATAGATAGTTGGTAATGGCGGACTGGAGCACAGGAGAGAAAACAGAGTTAAATATATAAATCTGAGAATCATCAGCACAGAGATGATATTCAAACTCCTGGGAATGGATGTGGTCACTAAGTGAGTGAGTTAGTCACTCATAATATATCAAAACCAATAATGTATAATAACGTAGCAATAACCTGGCAACTAGCTCAATATTAACTGTATACCAATTTTTTTTATTAAGATGCCTAATTGGGTTTATTTATTCAAGTTATTATTCTTCTGTAGTGAAGTTTTTCCATGCTGTATTTATTTATATTTTACTCTAACATGTATATATCTGAAAGCTCCCATCTGTAACTAATAAAAACAAAACAAGATCACAGATTGTTTTAATTTCCTGCCTGCTATCAGCACTGAGTAGGTAACCCTGGAAACCAGGATTTGAGACATCATTTCTTATTATTGATTATAACCAACAAAGGCCACAGAGAAGTCATCCAGAGCACTCAAAATAACCTAAATACGTCAGCTTCAGGCCGTATATTTTTAATTGTCATTTGCTGTCATTTTACTGTCATTCGTAAGGATAAAAACAACCAAAAATACACAATATATTTTCCCATCTCTTAGGTGTTTCATTTTTAAAGCCTCCTTTTCAAAATACAGTACAAAGGGTCTATCGGGACTACCAGACCCTGAACTATAAAGTAGTAGTGATCAAAACTCATCTAGTAATGGTTAAAAAAACAGGAAAGGAAATCGGTGGAATAATCTAGGTAAGCAAGAAACAAGAACAATAGAAAACAGTAATTCAGTATTTTATAAAGACAAGCACATAAATTACCAGAAGAACTACTCTTTTTTAATGAGAATTACTTCAAAAACTAGAAGGCAGTCTTGCAGAAATTAGGTTTAAAATTAACATCTTACTTGTTTTACCATAATAAGCTCAAGTATATACTGTATGTGTACTGAACACAAAGGGCCATACCATTAAAAAACTCACCAAAACAACAACAAAAACAAAAAGTGACATCAGGTACCTTTCACAACTATTGGCTTTCCTAATCTTGCCTCTATACTTAACCAGTTCAACATTTTCATTATCCTATATTCATGAATCTCTTGCCCAACCCCATCTCTGGATTATTCACATCAGCTAACTCCTCTGCTCCCACTAACACAGTGCCCAATGGTGCTAGAAGTCAGACAACCATGATGCCTGGATCGAATACAAATTTTATATCTAATCTCAGCTGGTCCCTCAATGCATCAAGACGAACTTTTTCTTGTTCCCTCTACCAAACTGATCTTCTATGGTTGTTCCTAACCTTCTTTAGTCTCTTCTCAGGACTCCCTCACAACCCTCCCTCTACCTTTTCAACAGAGGACCTCATGCTGAGAAAAAGAGTTCATTCCCTATGAGTGCCCTCTTCTCCCCATCTCTACATCTCCAAAGCCTTTGACTGATGATCTTTCAGTCTTCCCACCTTTACTATGGTTTCTTTTTTTTCCTTTTTTTTATGATAAGTGGGCTTTAACATAAACAAGTGCCGGAATTAATCAATGTTCATTTCAGGAATTCTCTTCTCAGAATCTGGTGAGGCACTTGGATCTATACTCTCTTCAAGTGGACTAAGCCCCTCCGTGGCTATTGTCTTGTCCTTCTACTGGTCCATTCTGTTCCACATGTTCATCACCTTATCTTTAGTAACACCAACTACTACACATGTTGATTCCATACGCTCCCATATTTTTCAACAGATTACCCCCACGATCACCCCTTCTCTTTCTCTAACCTTTAAATTCTCTCTTCCTACTGCCTTCTTCCCTATCTTACAAAGTACCCACGTCTCTTTCATCCTTAAAAACTTTCATTTGACCCTACCATCTTCTGGAGATTTTTGCCTATATTTCTCTTCTCCTTCTAAGCCACTCATCCAGAAAAAGCCATCTACTCTCATTGCCTCCACTCTGACCCTTGGAAGTTATCAATGATCTCTTTAACACTAGTTTAACATCCAATAACCTAATTTTAATCTCCATCAGTCTTGACCTGTGTAGCATTTGATACTGTTGTCTAACCTCTTCTCCTAAATAATACCGCTCTATCTTGGTTCATTTCCTAACCATCTTACTGACTGCCTCTCAGTATCCTTTGCTCTATCATCACCCATGTTCCTCCTCGTCATTGTGGGTGTGCCCCAAGACTCTGTCCTGGGCCCTTTTCTTTCTCTATGCTTTCTGTCTTGGCGACCTCATCAATTTCTATGGATTCAATTATCAGGTCTATGTATATACATCATAGATCTATATATCAATTTTTCTCCTAAGCCTCAGTCCCACATCCGTAGTAGATTATTAAACATTTTGAACTGGATGTCCCATTTGCATCTCAAACTCAACATGTTTAAGGCAACTGACCACCCAAACCCAGCCTTCTTCCTAACTTAGGTATTTCCAAAGTGGCCACGCCCCTTCTTCTAGGTACCCAATTCCACTTCAACTCTTCTTTCTCCTTACCACACATGGCAAATCAGTTACCAAACCTTGCTGATTCTGCTTCTACAAGATCTCTCCTACCTAGTCCCTTCTCTCACACATCTTCCTCTTCTCTCCACTCACATAGCCACCATACTAGTTCAGGCCTTCATTACCTCTGACCTAGGCTACTGACCTCATTGGTCTATGACTTAAATCTTTTCTCTAATCCATCCTCCACTTAGCTGCAAAAATGATATATCTAAAATAAGGGTCTGGCCATGTCATCCTCTTGATCCATAAGCTTCAATGACTCCCTATAATCTCTAGTATCAAATACAAACTCTTTTGTTTGGCATTTCAAGCCCTTTACAATCTGACAGAACCCACATTTCCAGGGTTATTATGCACTTTATAGTTCAGTCAAACTGGTTGCCTTGTTATTCCTGACTAGTGACTCCATCTCATATATACAATGACTACAGTTTAAATGAAGTCATTAAAAGCAAGTAGAATTCTGAATAGTGGAAAAACCAATAAAGGTCCTAGAAAACAGCTGATAAAAATTTCCCTTTCCTTCATGACAGAGCCCTGGAGAACAGTAAGAGAGAATATTACACACATCATCAAATACAATCAATAAAAAGGAAATTTTTGTTTATTTTTTTCTTTTTAACAAAGGAGTTTTTAATCTGTAAGGGAGTGGGAAATATCTATGAGGCAAGGACAAAAGGAATCAATAAATTTTTAAAGAAAATAGGGCATTATACTGTTCCACTAATTGCCCATCTACAGTACCTATATAAGCATTCTATTAAGTATCCACACTATTCTGGGCTGAAAAAGAAAAATAGTGCATGGTATTCAATTTCCTTTAAAAAACTCGCATTCTAAAGGATAAAATATATAAACATTGATATAAAAAAGAAAGCATACTGAAGAAGTACTCTGAGAAGAAATTAGATAAATGGAACAAAATATGTGTAGTGTTCATGCAGTTTCTATGGGAGAAGAAAGAAGAAAGAACTCTCAAAAGATGCTATTTGTTTTGGATGTGTGATTGCAGGAATAATATTGCTGCTCTATGATTATTTCCAAAATAGAGACCCAAGAGGAAGCTAATCACCTGCCTTTCTGTGTCATCTCTTTCAAAGGTCAGCAGAAAGGGTGACACCTAAAAAAGAACACAGAGCACTCAACATGATATTGCTTCCTTATGATGCAAAATGGTTTCCAAACAGCTCTGTTCACAAGTATATGAACTATAATAGCCATTCACATGTTATCTGTTTCAATGACTCATCAAATAGATTGCTGAAATCCTCTTTGAGCACCTGACTTCAGACATAGCTTCTAGGTGTCAACTTTGGTTCAGCATCTGGTGCGGAGCTACATGTACATCCGTCACAAAGCTCCTCTTATCATTGCAATTTAATGATGTGAGATATTTAAATCACTCCAATTTCTTGGAAAGTACTTTAGAACACACAAGCCCATTACTCCCTTCTTAAGTTTGCTCTACCATAATTTGAACATTGATGCATTTCCTGTTAACAGACTTTTTCCTGCCTGCTTCATCAGTGCAATCACAGAACCAGAGAATTTGAGAATTGGGAGGGTTCATAGAGACCATCAAATCACACCCATTCCAAAAGGGAATCTCCACCCACCCACCTGATAACGTAAGTGACAAATGATAGTCCAGCTTCTGATTAAAGACGTTCAAGGTGGAAGAACTCACCACCTCACTTTCAGACAAGTCTAACTGTGTGGAAGTGTTTTCTGACATCCACTTTAAATTTATCTATTTGCCACTTCCCTCCACTGCTCCTGTCTGGCCCTCTGAGGCCACGTCACAGCCCTTCAAATACTGAAACTGGGCTACCATTATCTCTCTCCTCACCCCTCTTCTTTTCTCCAGGCTAAATATGCTTAGTTCTTTCAATCAAATTTCATTATCATGGACTCAAAGCCCTTCACCGTCCTGACTGCCTTTCCTTGGACATTCAATAATGTATTAATGCAATTCTTAACCATACCACTTAATTCCAGATGAGGTCTGACAAAGGCAGAGTATAGTGAGACTATTGCCTCCCCAGTCTGTCCATAAGTCAGTTAACAATTTAGGGCAGGTAAGCGGTATAGTGGGCCTGGAGTCAAGAAAATCCGTGTTCAAATTTAGCCTCAGACATTTATTAGCTATGTAATCCTGGACAAGCCATTTAATCTTTTTGCCTCAGTTTTCTCATTTGTAAAATGGGATAATGATAGTACCCATCTTCCAGGGTGGTTGTGGGGATCAAATTAGATAATAATTGTAAAGTGCTTAGCTCAGAGTCTGACACATATTAAGTGATATATAAATGTTAGTTATTATTAGGAAGCATTTTTTGAATTTTATTTTTAATTTATGGAATAAATTAATGGCACAGTACAATAAAAATAATGATTGTACATAAAACTGAAAATCTACTATGCACAACTTGCTATTCCTTTCAAAAATACAACAAAATTATCACATAAATTTCTTTTTTCTCTCCCTCCCCCAGGCTATAGTGGCTAACACCCTTTTGAAAGCCATCCTAGTTCTAGCTATGAAGTCATTTGTAAAGGTTTCTCCTAACTATATGGTTAACAAACCAGAACTAGTTACCATGCCTACCCATTCCACTTTTTTTTGTTTGTTTTTTTTCCCCATTCCATTTTTTTCCAAAAGCACTTCCATTACATGTCATCACAACTCTCCCAGGAGAAATCTCCGCCCTCTCCTACATGAGGGATTTATATCAGTCAAGCAAAATGATGTACTCTATCTGTGCAATAGTCCCTGTTACACACACACACACACACACACACACACACACACACACACACACACACAACACTCCCTCTCTAGTCTTTTTGCACTGGCTGTTCATACCTTGAATGCTCTTCCCCTACTCACCTCTGCCTCCTAGCTTCCCTTGGCTTTCTTTCAGACTCAGCTCAAATTCCACCTTCTGCAAAAAGACATTTCCAGTGCTCCCAAGTATTTGTGCTTTTTTCTTTGGGATTAATTGTAACTGGCAGCACAAAGGCATGGAATTTTTAGAAAAAAAAATGTATTCCCTCCTTTTCAAGAAATCCTAGGTCTTTCTATCTGCAAGCAGAAGGCCAGAAGCTAGAAATATCATTACAAACATTACGGAAGTATAAACCTTGAACTACACTTGAGCTGTAAAGACCCTGGTCACATGGGGAAGGGGCTGAATTATTTGCTTCAATACATTCACTGTCATGACACACATAGGTGGGGTCATGACCGGCCAGAGACTTTTTACCATCAGAGGAATTTCCTGAATCCTCTCCCCCACGGTTCCTGATTTATCCTCACTACCCAACATCTCTAGCTTCCAAAAGGAGACAGAAGTAAAATAAAATAGATGGCTGTTCATTTCAACTCAAGTATCTTTGAGAACTTTTCTGTGCTTAGCACAGGCCAGCCTCCATTTCTACAAAACCCTTCCTCCTCACCACCTGCTCTTAGAATGAATCCTTAGCTTGCTTTAAAGCTCAGCTGAAACAAACATTTTCAGAAATAGTCAATATAAAAATGTTGTTTGGTTATTAATATTTGTTATAAAGGTTTTGTTTTTCCTTTTGCTCAATGGCATGGGAGGAGTGGGAAAGAAGAGAGGAACCAGTGATAAGGTTGTAAAAAAGGGGGATGGGTCCAAAGTACTACTTTGTAAATAAGGCCTTTCCTAATCCCTGGCAATCCACCCACCCAAATTGTTTGTTCCCTCTTCCCTTTCCCCAAATTACTTTTTTAATTTACTAAAGTCACAGTTGAACTCAAGTATACATTTTGTATTGACTTTTATATGTGTTGTTTCTTCAACAGTGGCTATTTTGTTATTGTCTTTACACGCCAATCACCTAGCACAATGCCTGGCACATATTAGGCACTTAATAAATATTTGTTGGGGCAGCTAGGAGGCTCAGTGGATAGAGTACAAGGCCTGCAATCAGGAATACTCACATTCCTGAGTTCAAATCTGGCCTCAGGCACTTACTAGCTGTGTGGCCCTGGGTAAATCACTTAATCCTGTTTGCTTCAGTTTCCTCATCTGTAAAATGAGCTAGAGGAAGAAATGGCAAACCACTCCAGCATCATTGCCAAGAACACCCCAAATGGGGTCACGAAGAGTTGGACATAACTGAAACAACTTAACAACAACAAACAACAAAAATATGTGTTGTCTTCTTGATAGCAGATTAAGCACTCTGCTGGGTGAGAGGGAAATGCAAACAGAATGATATAATCTTTGACTTCAAGGAACTCGATATCCTGGGGAGATGAGAGTTATCCACTAACATGTTTAAATGTGACAAAGATAATAATGATGATAATAATAATAGCTAGTGTTTGTATAGGGATTTATGATTTGCAAAACCCCTTTACAAATATCATCTTGTTTTGTTCTCATAACATCCCTGCGAGATCGATGCTATTATTAATCCCTTTTTATAGATAAGGAAACTGAGGCAGAGGTTAAGCATCTTCCCAGGGTTGTATAGCCACAGTAAGTATCTGAAACCAGATAGGAACTCAAGTCTTCCTGACTCCAGGCCCAGCACTTTCTCCACTGAGCCACCTACCTGATTCAATTCCTCAGATACAGCTGATGTCTATGCTGCTTATTTTATAGGTAAGAAAACAGGCTGGAAAAGTTTAGTGTCTTGGCCCAAAGTTCTATGACTGCTAAGGAGGTAGAATAGGGTCAAGGCCCAAACCATCTAAGGCTAGAAAGAGTCCTTTTTATTATTCTAGGCTACCTCTTTGGATACAATTAAGGTGTACATAATAGATTACAGTTTCATATGCAATCATCTTTTTTTTAAATTATACTATATTATGGAAATGTTTGTTTTATTCCATAAATTGAAAATAAAATAAATAAATGGAAGAAAAAGATATGATCATGGGCTAGGATGTATTGGTATGGGCTGTTGGTTTCCCATCTTTGAATGTAAGGACCTCTTTTTAGCAAAAAAAAAAAAAGTCACAGATCCTCACACATGCATGCGCACGCACACATTAAACTATTACTATCAATTTATTAAGAAATTACATGATGGCAAAAAGCTGTAAAGAACTTTATAATGTTTTAAATGAACTTGTACTTTATCAATCACAGTAGCATTTTTATATATTTGAAAAGTTATACATATATATACATATACACACACAAACACAGATATTGTGTTTGTTGTTCAACTCTTTAGACCATACTGTCTTCGAGTGGTTTGTCATTTCCTTCTCCATTGGATTAAGGCAGAGGTTAAATGCTTTCCCCAGGGTTACAAAGCTAGTAAGTATCTGAGGGTACATTTGAACTCAGGTCTTCCCGACTCCAGGCCTGGCATTCTATCCACTGAGCTGTCTAGCTGCCTCTGACACACACATATGTATATGTACATACTTCTATGAAATAATATGAGCTACATGTGGAAGATATGATAATTCACACAGAATCAGGGTTATTTCCATATACAGAGAGAGCTTCCTAAAGACACTGAAGAGGGACCACAGAGATTCTATATAGTCCAAGTAAGACCTGTGGAGGCACACTAAAGTCCCTACTTCCTAGCTCCCTATTTTAAAAATCCTAAGAAAACATTCTTCTCCATATCTTAGTCTGAAGCCTTCACACTAATATAAATGAGAAAACTATAGCAATCTTCCTTTAAGTAAGTATCAATTTGCTAAACTGAAATCTTTTTTTGCACCCTTCTTATCAAAGGCCTAACTAGTTTCTAAGCCACCCTCAAGTCCCCCACAGCCTGATAAGCTCAGGAAGGCTTTTCCTGCTTAAGTGATAGGGTGAGGATCAGACTAAGACAAGGAGGAAGTCTGAATATTTCAGTTAATAGAAGTGCGAATTCACCTTTGACCATGCAGAAAGGAAAATCCTTAGAGAGAATAGTAGAAAGAGGGACTGAATGGTTTTAAGAAAATTATTCCCTTGGCTTGCACAGTGACATTTTAAGTTACTTTTGTACTAAGAATCCTTCCTTAATCTTTACTCTGCAATTTTGTCTGTTATTTAAGAATAGTATAAATTAAAATAGTAAATAACTCTAATATGGCTTGTTACAGAATTTTTCAAAAGCATTAGGATACTCTGAGAATTTTTATACCTCTCTCACAGCAAGAAATGCTTCGAATTAATTTAATTTAATTTAATTAGCAAAAATTATTTCTGGTAGGTTTATGACTAAAATCCAGACTATAGGTTTTTTCTTCAATAACCCCAACAACAGTCATCTGTGCACCCGCTACCACTCAACGCAACCCCTTCTACTTCCAGATGTTCTAATTTAAGGAAAATTTTTCCTTCCACTGGGACTAAACTTGACTCTGTAACTTCTACCCATACCCTCTGGAGTTGAGTCAGTCATTCCTTCATTCATTAAGCACTAAGTGTCTGTACCACATGAGGCAAGAGGAGGCAGGATGGCAGAGAAGCTGGGAGCCAAAGCTGGAGTCAGAACAATCTGGCCTCAAGTCCTGTCTCTGACACACAGTGTTTTTACGTGACTCTGGTCAAATCTCTTAACCTCTCAGTGCTCAGACTACCTATGGCAGAAGAGCTGCCGATCTGCATGCGGGAAGGATGTTTCCTCCTTGCTTCCTTAT